TAACTAACGTAACGTAACGAACGTAACGAACGTAACGTAACGTAACTAACTAACTAACTAACTAACTACTACTACTACTTACGTACGTACGTACGTACGTACGTACTACTACTACTACTACTACTACTACTACTCTCTCTCTCTCTCTCTCTCTCTCTCTCTCTCTCTCTCTCTCTCTCTCTCTCTCTCTCATCCATCTAGGGGGCACGCCCTACTCTAGAAAGTTTCTCTCGCACATCTTGGAAACCTCTCTTTCTCACTCCCTCCACCTCTTTGATCTCTATCTCCTACATTTTAAAAACTAAGGGTTTAGGCTATGGAGTTCTTCTCTCTCCCATCTCTCAACTATGGATTTATGGCTAAGGGTTTTAGGATGTAGCAAAAAGAGAATCCATCTCTTTCAAACTAAATTGCTAAAGGAATTCACCTAAGGTTTGAGTTTGTGATCAAAGGGGTTCACATTCCATTGGTGTGGCTTGTCCAAACTTGCTTTCTCGGTTGAGATTGAAGGTTAACCATTAGATCCCGTGCCATCGAAAGATGGTGACTCGGTGTGGGGTATACGAAGCCTGAATGAGGTAAATCCAGCACCCTCTTTTGTTTCTTCTATATTTATTTATTATATCTTTTATTCCAGTGTATAGGTTGTGTCTTTTCTTTTGTTAATGAAAAGTATGACTTGAATGGCTTCAACTTCTTGAGATCCTATTGTATTATTTTCTTTTATTTTATTTGAACTTATTATATTGTAAAAGAACTTCTTGTGAGTGATCTAGACCGTGAAGAAAAGAAAAAAATTGAAAAAAAAAAAAAAATTTTAATTATATACTCCAATTAGATCACACGTGTCGTCCTTTCAGATCCGCCACTAATTTTTGTGCTTATTGATCAAGCAATCTGAGCATGGCAACAACTGCTTCTATTGGTCACATTATGCACCTGAAGATCCAACCGTTCGTTTCTGCAACTTAGTGTTCAAACTCCAGCTGCTCTCTCTCATAGCATCTTGAGTTTGAAGGGGAGTATGAAAGGAAAGTATATAACGTCTACAAGGTCAATATGGAAGGTGTATATTGTAATCAGTATATATAATGTATCTTGTATTTATGGTAAGTCTGGGTATAGTGTAAGTATCTGTGATTTATTTATATTATTGTCATTTGTATGTGTTTATTTAAGTCAAGCATGTATATTCATAATTTCATATTAATCAATGGACACTGAGTCTCTTCAGAGAAACCTGAGACTCTTCACAAAGGAACGTACATATTTGCCACCTACAAATCAATAGCAAAACTGAACAACAGCTAAAAAAGGGTCCAACTTCAAGCTCTCTTTGCTAATAAGTCATCCTCCAAATTACTATAAGTTGTGAAAATTCACCATCAATTAGTTTTCAGATCTAAAGAGCACCTAAATGCAAACAAAACCAATATGCAGTAGCAATAGACTGCTCTTAATTAGGTTCAAATCTATCTTGTCCGATGTATACCAGAACTACCAGTTACCGCGGACGAGTAGAAGGCTGTGAGCAAGTCTAGGACTAAACAAATAAGTCCAAGAAAGAACCATATTACACTACAATCGGAAAGAAGTTCCCTCAAAAGGTCAAATCTCTCATTATCTGGCATGCTAGCGATTCAGTATGATCATCCCATACAACACAAGTGTAGAAGGTAATGAGGTCATGATGGCCTGCAACTTTATGTTTTCAAGGACAAGGAACCAGAAGGAAGGGGCTTGGATATCCCTTGGCTTACACAGGAAAAATCTCAATAAGGCTCACAGGCTTGTTTAGCAGGTTGAATCCAATTCCAGGCAACTTTTGATGGCAATTGTTAGAGCTCTGTTCTTAGTGCATTTGCGAATACAAGATAGGAGACATCTAATACCATATCACATTACTTATAATGTAGATTTGACTCCAAGGGAGTGGGAGTGTCCATTTTTAAGAACGTTTTGAAGCTAAAAAGCTTCCCAATGCGGGTATGGAACATACAAATTAAGAACTCAAACAAAAGAAATCTCTGCAAAGCATTACATTACCATCCATATAAGAACTTTGTTCTTGCTCCATGGGTGTGATGCATGATGAAATACAAAAGTAGATTGGCGCTTGATAATCAGTGTCTTCCTTTCAGCCCCTTGAGAACCAACTTCCACAGGTGTTAATACAACAATAGAGATTTTGCATGGAGAAACATAAAAACATTGTCAAGGCTCAAAAGAAAAGCAATACCGAAATGTATTCATAGGCATGTAAAGTTGCATACACAATCATTATCCATGGAAAAATCTCTCTCTCTCTCTCT